TTTTGATTTGCAAGTTGTACCGAAATTACTATGTAAAAAACAAAGACAACCGCGGCTTAACGGAAAATAACCGAGTTGGGCGAATAGTTGAAAGTATTCGCGAGCTCGAATACTGCGCGGTTAAAAATACATTTGAACACTACCGATACTCCCGATTTCGCCCGGTTCCGAATCGGGTCCTACGGTGGTAAAGAGTACGGACGGATCCGCAAGTACAAAAAGGGGATGGGGCTAACTCAAAAACTAAAAATATTTAAATGATTAGGACCCGCGATTAACACGCGTACGCCAACGGTCCGATAAACAGTTTTTACTGAATGATAAGTTTAAATGATATGTTATAAGCGGCATTTTCGAGTTCGAAAGAAGAAATTTTAATTTTTACTTTCCTGGCTCTGTTACGTACGACAGGAGGAAAGTATGGCCGTCGGTCAAAAATACAGGTACTCCTCACTTTACGACCAATCGAGTTTCGACCCGCAATTCGGGAAATTCCCTTTCTCGGCTCGAGTGTCGATCAGTGGCGATTGGTGACACGCTCACTGAGCGTAGTATAGGCTCGCTATGCACTTTTTGGTCAGTGTGATGTAATTTAAACAAGTGCGGGCCTTGCCAACGCGCTTAATTTAGATGTTGAAGTGGAAGACATTGCTGAATTAGTGGATTATGCCGATGGAGAGCTAACAAATGAAGATTTAATAGTTAGAAGCCACGCAGTATTTGGAAGAAGACGAAAGGACTGAAGAAGTGAAAAAGAAATTCACGGTACATGGGTTAGCCAGGGCTTAATTTGGCACAAGGCAGGCAAGGCACTAGCTCGGGGCCCGTAATAGGTTCTAAACGTGCCATTGTTTTATTAGTATTGCGAATTACTATATTATTAGCGCCATATTCGAGGGTTAATAATTAAGAATAACATTACCTACTGCTCCGACATCTAACAATACCACTGAGAATTAGATAAAGTTTGTATATGCGCATTAGATCTGTTCGGTGAAGTTCATAATAAAGCAATGTTTGTTGAGAAAAATATAACGTATTTTAATAGGTGCTGCATAATTTTATTGTAGCCCCAAAAATACAACGTAAGTAAGATATTCAAATGTAAAAATAAAAATACTTTAATTTTAAATATTACAATTTTATTTATATTTGTAGTAATAGAAAATTCGTAAAGGGGCCCGTAAATATTATTTTGCCTAGGGCCTGCAAAGGTCTAAATTAGTCACTGGGTTTAGCTGATGTGTTCTCCAAAATTAATGCGGCTATGTTGGAACTTCAGGCTACGGATCCAAATACCGAACGTTTTAACAAAGTTGAACTTGGGATGAGTGAACTTTTGAAGTGCTATAGCAGTGGTTCTTAACCTTTTAGTGATGAGGGACCATTTATCAAACTTTTTGTCTTGCCATGGACCACAAGCTGTTTGGCAGTAATACAGGCATACCTCGACTTACGTCGGTTTCGAGTTACGTCGTTCCCGATTATACGTCGCTTGTTAAAAAAGTATATGGAAAAATAAAAATCAAGTTTAAGTCATTTTATTCGACTTTACGTCTGTCCGCCACAAATATTGAAGTCGTAATATCACTAGATAAACGTTTAAAGCACATAAAATCATATTAAAATATATACAAGTATGTACTGTATTTACAGTACACGCATTCGTAAATTTAGATTACTTTTTTTGTACTATATTAAAAACTAAAATTTATTTGTTTGTNTCATTTTATGGAGACACGATCCAGACATCCCTCTTTGTGAATCAGATGAACGACAATCAGCATGGCCTTGCCATAGAGCTGGAGCAACGTAGTAATTCCTCGGTCTATTTTCTGGACTTGAATATTGCATTTGGAGTAGAAAGAGAGGACTTCTTTGGAAAACTCTGGCGTCACGGACCACGAGCTGTTTGGCAGTAATATAGGTTCTCATAAGGTTGTTCTATAAATTAAACACGTAGAAAATTATTCGGAACCAAGAGTATTATATTATTTGCGAAAGTGTTACATTAATTATATTATTTTAGTGCGATTTTTGTGACTGCGTACTGTTTACCGACTGCTGAATTCTTGGTTCAGTGCTACTCAAAGCAAACGTATGTCGGCACTGGCATCCAACCGATTTCGATGTTTATTTTTAATTATCGAAAGCACTGAGAATCCTTGTTCGCATAAATATGTGGTTGAAAATAAAGTTAGGTACTGTAAAGCAATTTCTCGAATTTTAGGGAAAGCAATAGCTTTTTGGCTCCAAAAATCTTTAAGGTTAATTCCTGTCTCGAATGTATCCTTGCAGTTACTATCATGTTGCATTTCAATTAACTCTTCTTGTATTTCGTCCGGCACCTCAGAAATGTTGACTATGAAAGGATTGCAAATCAGTTTCCGAATACCCTTTGTCCTTGCAGTCAGGAAATAGTGATTAAATTCATTTTTCAAGCTTTGCAAATGGAATGTAGTGTTCTTTTGTATTTGTCCTTTAATCTCGGCCCACTGTCAATCAATAATTGGGTTCAATGTATCAAACGCAGAAAAATTCTCTCTTTCGACTTTGCTGATCCATAGGTCGATTTTAGCGATAAACGCACTGATTTTATCTTCAAATGTAAATTTATTGCTAGTGCCTTCCAATTTCATATTTTCTGACCCCAGCCCAGTCCTCTATCGGCTCTAACCTTGACGTACCGCGCATTGTCATCAACTCGTCATTTATTTAATAATTTTGGGATAACTTCGCGGACCACTTCGGGTGCTTTCGGGGACCACCAGTTTTCCACGGACCACAGGTTAAGAACCATGGTGCTATTGAGAAATTTATCAAGAAAAAATATTACAATGCAAACCACAGTTACGAGTTTCTTTTCGACCGTTACATTTAAGACCTCCGCCGTTGAAGGTGCAACTTCTATTTCATCGTCGTCATCGCCCTTACCTGGGAAAAAACCTCTACAGCTCCAGATAACCAAATAAACAAATGATAATATGTACTGTACATATGCCTGTCTTTTTATGAATAAATTTGAAGTTTGTTGCATAATTTTTATAATTTTACAACGATCCTATATTCCCGGCGCAAGCTCCTCGCTTATCGACCAAGTAGTCGTCGGAACGAAACTCGGTCGTAAAGTGAGGAGTACCCGTAACCCCCCTCCGAGATGCTTACATTTTTGGACTGGGAAACTGGAAACGCCGAGAAATGCAAAAAAATTCGTTTTTTTCCTGTATGTGTACTGATGATAGTGAATGGCGCACGATTTTGTTTTCCCTCTTCGAAGCTTAACTCCCCCGCTTTTTGTGGAAAATTTCTAAAATTTTGCAGGGCGGTTTGCGTATTTAGGGTATTAACCCTCTCGGCCTTTAACCGACCATTAAATTTTGTCGGTTAAAGCTGCAGAGGGTAGATGAAGGGGATTGTGTGTCGTATTTCGAGTAGGGTCGGACTCAACGTCGTTTTTCCTCGTTATTAGCATTCACAACTTTTTAAAATAAAATCCGTCTCTACCTTCGAAGTTAAGCTTTTTGTCGTTTTATAATAATTAAAAATATAAAAAGTTTTTAAATAAAATGCCGCGGCAGATGGCGCCACATACGCGGTTTTAAATGTTGCCGGGGAAAGTTAAGTAACTGGTTGCTAGACTTTTTTGTGTCCGCCAATGCGTAACCCTCGGTAGCCACCAACGCGTCTCTTCGTCACCTCGCATTTAATTTGTGACCGGAAAAGAAGCGGGTCCTTGCAGCTAGTATATATATAAAAATGGACATACATGTCCATTTTTATATATATACTAGCTGCAAGGACCCGCTTCTTTTCCGGTCACAAATTAAATGCGAGGTGACGAAGAGACGCGTTGGTGGCTACCGAGGGTTACGCATTGGCGGACACAAAAAAGTCTAGCAACCAGTTACTTAACTTTCCCCGGCAACATTTAAAACCGCGTATGTGGCGCCATCTGCCGCGGCATTTTATTTAAAAACTTTTTATATTTTTAATTATTATAAAACGACAAAAAGCTTAACTTCGAAGGTAGAGACGGATTTTATTTTAAAAAGTTGTGAATGCTAATAACGAGGAAAAACGACGTTGAGTCCGACCCTACTCGAAATACGACACACAATCCCCTTCATCTACCTATCTGCAGCTTTAACCGACAAAATTTAATGGTCGGTTAAAGGCCGAGAGGGTTAATACCCTAAATACGCAAACCGCCCTGCAAAATTTTAGAAATTTTCCACAAAAAGCGGGGGAGTTAAGCTTCGAAGAGGGAAAACAAAATCGTGCGCCATTCACTATCATCAGTACACATACAGGAAAAAAACGAATTTTTTTTGCATTTCTCGGCGTTTCCAGTTTCCCAGTCCAAAAATGTAAGCATCTCGGAGGGGGGTTACGGGTACTCCTCACTTTACGACCGAGTTTCGTTCCGACGACTACTTGGTCGATAAGCGAGGAGCTTGCGCCGGGAATATAGGATCGTTGTAAAATTATAAAAATTATGCAACAAACTTCAAATTTATTCATAAAAAGACAGGCATATGTACAGTACATATTATCATTTGTTTATTTGGTTATCTGGAGCTGTAGAGGTTTTTTCCCAGGTAAGGGCGATGACGACGATGAAATAGAAGTTGCACCTTCAACGGCGGAGGTCTTAAATGTAACGGTCGAAAAGAAACTCGTAACTGTGGTTTGCATTGTAATATTTTTTCTTGATAAATTTCTCAATAGCACCATGGTTCTTAACCTGTGGTCCGTGGNATATGAACTTCCGTTGCAAACCGGCCTATGCCATTGAACTTATACATAAAGTACAGTTCGTGTACATTAATGTACTGGTACTTCTCATTGCTACCCTGTAAATAAACCTACAAATTTATTATTAAAATTCCTTTAGTGTATAAAGTTCAATATGTATTAATAACGTTTGTAAAATTAAAGAAAAACAAAATCAAGCACACATTAAAAATACTGTATTACGGAAAATTCTTATTAAAGTCTTTATTTTTAAACGGTAAATCATACAGAAATAATTAAACAAAGAAACAGTTATTATTTAGAATAAGAAAAATCTTGCTGCGTCACACTGGAGAAATTTCCCAATCTTCCGAAGATGATTCTGTCAATGGATCATCCTCTTGAAACAAACACTTTTGCGAAGGAACACCTCCAANGGTAAATCATACAGAAATAATTAAACAAAGAAACAGTTATTATTTAGAATAAGAAAAATCTTGCTGCGTCACACTGGAGAAATTTCCCAATCTTCCGAAGATGATTCTGTCAATGGATCATCCTCTTGAAACAAACACTTTTGCGAAGGAACACCTCCAAGTGTTTCGTCTTCTGACGCATCGGAATTTGTCTCTATTTCCTTGCCGAAATTTGAGTCATTTGACGAATTCTTTTGTAAAATTCCCTCTCTGTCCATTTTAATTAAAACGTCATACAGTTCCTTCAGCAACGACATTTTGTCTGAAGGAATTGCTCTTATCCAAGTAAAATCCATCTTATGGTCAGTCTTGTCCAGATTTTTGTCGTAGTAATGATAAGTTGGATTAGGATTAAATCGGACTTTTTTAATTTCGTTTTTCTTTCTTTTCATAAAGGAAAAAAAACGTTTGGGTCGTTTCAAATTTGCTTTCAAATATTCTTTTGAAATTGTTAGTAGTGGCCGCATTTCAGAAGTGACCTCTTCTTCATCTTCGTTCATATCAAACTTTATGTCGGTCATAGAGTCCGAAATAGGAGTTTCTTCTATCACCACGTGTTGATCTAATTCTATGTTGGGCTCTGCTGACAATATGTGATTTGTCAGATAATCAGTGGAGATGTCTTCTGTTTGAGTGTATTTATCACTCTTATCGTTGGAAAGATAATAGTCATTTTTATCGCATATAGGAAATTTCTCTTTATGCATTGGTGTGGGTCTATCTGTGTCGATTTTACATGTAAATCGTAGTGTGTTCAGACTTTCATTGTTGATTTGTTCCGATATGATATCGCACATCCTGGTTTCTAGTTGTTGTTGGCAGAATTTAATAAATCTCTTTGCAATATAGAAGATGACACATGATGTTAATATTACCATTTCAGTTCCAAATACGTAAAATAGTATATTCAGATTGATGTTTCTCCAGTCTTTTAATTCGGAATTTTGTTGCGGTCTTCTATATTCCGAATTGATATTATTGTTGATTGTGTTATTTGTGATGTTTTTTCCACCAAAATTATTAACACCTTTGTTGTCGTATGGTGCATATAACTGACTAAAGAATTTCTTCTTTCGTAAGGTTAATCGTGAAGAAATTTTATTTTTCTGGTCTGCTGTCTTTACATTTTGATCTGGTAAGTACACTCGATCATCTTGATTGGCATTTTTATTATCTTGTAGTTTCTCGGATTGAGTCGGAACTTTCTCATCCCCCGACTGGTCCGCTGGATAAATATTTTCACGTCCAGTAAAAAATATTCCATTTGTATTACTTTCAATAGCAAGTAATACAAAAATAATCATAAATGCAATGAAAATCTTCATCGTTTTCGAAGCGCTTTAACAAATTTGCGTTGAATGCCTTCAACAATTAAACTCTCAACAATTATGAAAATTGCATTATTTACACCGCAAACACATCTTTCTCGTAAAAACTATTTCCTCAAAAGGGAAATAGAAGAAATTTTGCGGGAGAATTTTTCGAGAAATTTTGACAACAAAATATACTAAAGTCCAGACACAACTGAGTGTGAAGCACTTCGAGCTGTTCCTTCTCAGATGTGTTTAGTTGAAAAGGACGACCAAACAACTGATCCATTTACAGAATTACCCTCAAAAAATTGGGAAGTATCCTGTCTAATACACGAAAACTTTTATTCAGTCGAATTATAAATAGTTGTTTTTGTACTTTATTTACTTCTATATTATTTATCTTTTAAAATAAACACTGGTATTTAAACACATTACCGAAAATTATTCACCTTTGCTCGGGTTTGTTTTCCGTTTCCGTTAACTTGTGTTCCGTTCACACGTTGTATACAACTAAAGAAAGTGTTTACGCTGAAAGGATTTCAAGCTAAAAGTTATAGGCTAGATTAAACTTTAAAGTAACAACAAGAAATAATGTCTTCTTTACATAAGGCTGTAATATACCTAAATCTTCGATATGTATAGCAGGAACTGATCATAATAATAGTGTCTTTGCGCTTCTGAAGATATGAAAGATATATCTTTATTCTGAAAATATATGACACTAGCTGCAAGGACCCGCTTCGCTGGGTTTTTATTTGTATGTAATATAGTTTTTTTTATATATATAAAAGACTGTTTTTCTAAGTAATCTAGAATCTAGCTGCAAGGACCCGCTTCGCTGGGCAAAAAGTAACGATAGTGAAGATTAAGATAATTACATTATAGCTAATCTTACCCGTTTTCACAGAATGCAAGAATTAGGTCCCCCGTTTCCAGACTAATTAGAGAATTTTTACGTTTAGTCAAACGAACTATTTTCAACGTTTCTGGAACGTTTATAATAGTTCTATAATCGAACCAATATTCGAATTTTATGTTCGAACAAATTCGAACAAAACATTCGAAATAGAAAGTCACTTTCAACCACTTTCAGCCTCATATCTCCCGCACCCTTATAGCTATCGAGACGCAACTACTCCTATGCACGAATGGAGACTCGGGGCTACTACCACATACAAACACCATTCACGTGCGATATGTAGTTTTTGCGGAAAAGTGAAATATAGGGACATACACGTCCATTTATATATATATATATATAGATTTAAATTACGTAAGGTACGGTAATCGAATTCATCGAGTATTCGAGATGGGGTTATTATTCGAATTGGAGGAAAGTGATATTCGCCGGTGTCTAACTTTTACGACACGGCTATTTCCGGCGGAGTCCAGTTTCTGTTTTGGATGCGATTGCGCTCGTCGATTAATTGCCGTTTCCTCGGACGTCCTGTAATATGTCGGATGAGAACCGCGTAAACGTAATACTCGTATATCGTATACTGTACAGGACTCCGAATATATACGTTAAAAATACACAGAATATTTCATTTTTAACACGAATTTACTTTTAAATTCTGCCGCTTATAAATTTATGTTCGGGAATTACGGAATTCTGTCGAAAAGTCCGGTTCTTTCTCACGTAATCTAATTAGCGTAAACGAAGGTAGAAACGTGTCGTAAGAATGCACGACGTAAAATTATATTAACTGCCAGTGTTTACAAATTATATATATGTATTGTTAGACGTTGCTTAAAAATCGATCTCAATTGGCGGCGGTGAATTCGACCGCCCGACAAACCGCGTAAACGGAGAACGAAACGAAAATCGTAACCAGGACGACGAAGAGAAACAAAAACAAAGAACGACCGCCAATTACACCGCTCCGCAAAAAAATCCCGCTCTCGTCAAACATTTTCACCCGTTTTTATATTTTCGATGGTACCGAATCCGAATCTGGCAACGGAATTGGCCCAACACCCGTCACTTTTGAGAGAAACGAGGTTTTTGAAGGAAAACATTTCCCGTTCAAAATACCGTGTTCATTGGCTACACGCGTTAATTGGCTAATTAGATACAAATAAATTTATGTTAATTTCTCCTTTTTCGTAATTCCATACATTTAAAATCCGAAACACTTAATGACGCGTTTTCTTCCTTCACAGCCAGAGACTGGCGAAGAAAACAGACTCCAGCAATATTCCGTTATCCTTCCAACTTTCGCTATACCGCTTTTCCGTTCGAGAAAATGTTGGATGGAACCTTTCTCCGCCGTGGCCAGAAACGATTCCTAGGTTGGCGGGGAAAACTAAATGGAACGTCTGGAGTGACGCGTTGTAACCCAGTGTTTGGCAGGACGTTACCGTCTCGGCCACCATTTCCTCGTAGTCTTTATCTCGTAGGTTCCCCAAAAATTCCTGCTGGCGCTTCGAAATGAGTCCTACGCCGTCCTTTCCGCCGGGTTAAGTTAAAGTAGGGTCCTGGGAAAACCGTCTTACTCGGGGACCGACGAAATTTCCTCTTTTACTTTCGCATCGATCGGACGAGAAAACTTTTCTTCTGGTAAGAGAAGTCTTCTTTTTCGCCGTCCGCACTTTCCGCAAAGTTTTTGCGAAAAGTGCTCGATACGGAGAGGAGGTTAGAGGATTTTAGTCACAGCGGGAAAAGCAATATTTTTCCGACCTTTGCCACTTTTTTCTACCGAGTAACGACTGTTTCTCGCTTGGCATAAAAACAGCAGAATTTACTCGATGGTTCTCGAATAGCCGTTAGCGTATTATACAGTTCTCTGGTTATTTTGTTCAAATAACAGTAATAGAAAGTTTATGTAAAAGAGGCATTTGTCGACAAAAAGATTAGTATTTAGAAAACTGGGTCGGTGACAATACGTTCGTATTCGGCACACTAAAATACATTTTAAAAATCTTAGGTAGATTGCGCGAACTCGAGTAAGCGCCTCGATGACAAATTAACAGATTAATATTGGATGGGCAAACTTTTAAAACGCTTTCGTCCGCGTATACTTCTATGTTGCTACTATTTCCAAAGTTAAATTATATTATATTGGAGTTAATTATTTTTACCGGTTTCGTTTACGTTTTCGGCGATTATTGATGACTTTTCGTTATTTTCGTAACGTATTATTAACGTATTTTATCGTCCAGTTTGCCTTCGAAAATTTTTTCCGTAGACATTAACGTTCTGGTTTCAAAATGTGTTACGAGTACCGTTACGTAAGGTAAATGCAGCGAGACGTAAGTTTTTTAGCAGCGACAAAAAAAAAACAGTTATCGTATATCCGTCCAAAAAGACGGGCGACGAGAAAATCTATTGTTTTTATTGAAACAACTGATACGTTCGAGGTGAGAAAAGAATCGTAATTGTAACTATCGTTTAAATGGCCGTTGGTTAAAACAAAATATCCAGAAAAGCGATATACAGTAGATCCCCCTATAAGACGGTAGATACGTTCCGTTCTTTATGAATCAATTTTGTAGGAATCATAGTTTACGGACTACGGCTGTTTGAAAGGTTTTCTTTCATAAAATTAATCGATTCTAGACTAATTCGACTCAACATTTCCAAAATACGTATATTTTTTTGAAAATAATCCGTATAAACTACGTTATAAACAAAAAATTGTAGGATTGCTTACCGAGTGTGTACCGTTCGACTACGCCCGTTGCTAAAGCTTGGTTTCGTCGCGGAACAGCGCATCAAACCGCGGCCGCGATTTCTGATATTATTTTTCTGCGAAAACTTCGTTGACCTTTGGAGACATCCTTAATATAAATAATTTTTATGGCCGTTAAATAAGAAATGTTTCTTTCACAAGAAATGTATAAAATTACAGTACTGGACAGACGATAGGTCGCCTAACTCGCCGTAGCGTGACGCTAGACGGCGAAAAATATATATTTAATTATAATAAAGTTACAATAAATTAAGTTAATATATAATTATATATACAGTACCTAATTTATATATAATTAATATATAATTATATGTACAGTACCTAATTTATATATAATTTATATAATACTGTCCAGACGATAGAAATCTCTCCGTAGCGTGGCGCTACGGACGGCGGGTAAGTAGTTCGGCTGCCCGATGACGTTTTACGTATTATAGGAGTTATTTTTACCGTTGTTTACGGATAATGCCACAATTTTTATAGGAATCATAACTATAGGAAACGGTTTTATAGGGGGATCTACTGTACTGCCACAATTTTTATAGGAATCATAACTATAGGAAACGGTTTTATAGGGGGATCTACTGTATATTATTTTAATTAACTGGCGTTTAAAGACGAGTAGTTATTATTATAACCCCGAGTTTCAAATACATCAGTTACTTTAATCAAACAATTCATTTTTTGTCTTCTGGCGGTCGTCCCTTACTTTTTCGATGTTTTTTCGGGTCGATTCGCTTTTATTTTCCCCCAGTATATGAAAAAAGCCACTCGAGAGCAACGTCGCGCCTGGTGTTGCACGGGTTACGACGACCGACGCCGGTTAGCTAATACCCGAGTTGATTCTTTCCGTAGACAGACTGCGCTTTGGTGTAAAACTGAAGGAAACTTCAGTTTTACACCAAAGCGCAGTACGGAAAGAATCAACTCGGGTATTTTGTCGAGAAACTTCCGACTTCCTTCCCGCGGCACCCGCCCACCTGGGCGTAGAGATAGAGGACTCCTTGCCTGCGACGGAAACAAAGCGCGCGACACAAACATCGCGGCTGAGGATCTTGAAAATTAGGCGAGCTATTTCCAAACCCAGATGCGGGCCGATTGGGACTTCTATACACGCGCTGAAAATACCCTAATCGTCTCTCGCACTTACTGACATTTTTTCTTTGTCTATTTTTGATGGCGAAATGCAACTCGTTATCCATTTCCCACAATTATTAACTCCATATTACTTCTTAGAAGAATTTTAACTTCAGCAATGCGGTTGGTAACACGACGGGTCAAAATGTAGTTTTTCATTGCAAATAGTTTCGCGAGTCGAAACCAAAATTTTCAAAAACAAACTACATAATAAAAACACAAAAATGCTACTTATATTGTGCAAAACAAAAAAAACTGTCCGAAAAAACTCAACGTAACGAGTATGGTACGGATTCGATTGATCCGAGCACACTATAAACAAACAGCGAATAAACAACCGTGTGGCTGAGAGTAAAGCCCTTCGAGATCTGGCTCGTACTTAGATTATTAAAAAGATTTGGTATATTAGCGGTTAAGTACTACACTTATCGCTTTAAACTCTGATACTACCTTTATATAATTAAATAAAATCTAGAAAGTAGCCAAAT